CCCCAAAACCCCAAAACCCCAAAACCCCAAAACCCCAAAGACGGCTGTACAAGTTTAATCTGTAATATTCCGAAAATAAAATGAAGAATTAGTGGAGCTAAATACTCGAAGGATAGATTTAGGAGTTGCCAGTTTAGATCCCAAGAATTCTACCAAAATGCTATCAAGTATTATCCTTTCTTTTTGTGCTAGTTTCTCTAGTTGGATATACAAGATTTTTCTTAACACTAATTCGACAGATTCATTGTAATAAATTGTTGCATTTCACGATAATTATTAAAACTCGAAAGATCTACATTAAAATTATGAAAAGTGATAGTTAAAAGAAAGCGCTTTTACAGGAGTAAAAAACATACCTACAATTTCATTACCCAACAAGAGCCTAACTAATGGAAAATTGAATGAAAGAAGACTGTATGCCGCTTATCCCTGGATTTAAAACCTCACAAGAACAGATATCTATCGACTACCAAAGCAACGAGCTTCAGAGACAACTACTAATTGATGGTCAGGAAATCTTAACTTTAAGCATTATTATGATATCTTTGCTACTCTTCATCCTTCTTTTCCTCACAAGCAGGTTGGTCTATATTCAATGTTAAGATTTTAACTGAAGATGGCCTATCTTCGCCTAAAAATTAGGTCTTTAGAGGCCCTGATCCACCTAAAAATTTATGTATAACTTCAAAAATATGGAAAATTATTCAAAGAACAAAGATTTTACATGACAAAAGATTATAGAATTTCAGCTTCACCAATAATAGAGAGCCCAGTCTTTCGATGGATCAATTCCTGGGCTACAAGCATTATGAGGCATGAAAGAGTATAGATCTCTTAGTGTTAAGGAGTAAATAACTTAGATGCAGGAAGATTACCATGTCCCTCAGATGTGTCAATCTGTTGGATTTCTGATTCTTCATTAGCACATTTAAGATGTTCTTCTAAAATTCTGATAATTTCTTGCTCTTGCTCAATCTTCGCAGAGTACATTTCAGTCATTGTCTTGAAGTCAGCAGAGAACCTAGCTTCAGGATCTTCATGAAATAGAGTCTCTTTCTGGATAGCCTTATTAATAGCATTGTTTATTGTGCTCTGAATGTTATAGGAGTGATATCTAGTCTCCCTGGCTTTGCTATCATCCCTCAATTTGCTACAACTCTCTTCAAGTAATTTCTTCTCTTTTTTCATCTCTTCAATAGCCTTATCATATTTTCTCTTCTTCTTTATATAAAGCCCTTCTTTATCTTCATGTTTAGCTCTAGCTGCTCTCAGAATTCTAATTTTTGGAGCTAGAATTGCTTTCATTCTCTTAATTTCGTCATCAAGAATATTGACTTGCTCCCTCAACATCTTAAGTTCTTCTTCCTTCTTCTGTCTCTTTCCTTCAATCTCTTGGAGGGCTTTTCTTTTATTCTCTATCATTCTTGGAGTCGTGAAGGCCATCTTGAGCTCTTCTAGTTCTTTCTTCAGCTCATCAGTCATTTCAACTCTTTCTAGAAGAAGGTTCTCAGCTTTGCTGAGAACCTTCTGTTTAGAGTTGATCTGTGCAAGAAGTTTCTTCATGTGCTCACATTCTTGCTCTTTGACAAGAAGCTCCTTTGAGTATTTTAAGAGGGGGTCTGGACCAATGAACTTGACACCCTTGGCTATGTAATATTCATGTTGCTTAGAAGCCCAGAGATCTGAAAGAGCATTCTTTTTCTTTTGAAGTTGAAAAATCTCTTCATCTTGATTTAGTTTTGTTTGAGAAGAAGCTTTTATTTCTAAATCATATTTATAGTAAGAAGTATTCAAATTTTTAACCCTTATTATTTTCTTGATACACAACCAAAGCTCTTAAAAATTGGGAACTATCAAAATCATCAAAAGCTAAAATTACAAACCCCTATAATTCTCATTATTCTAATCCCAATTCCTTCCTTTAGCCCCTTACTTACCTCCCATCAACTTCTTATCTTGCTCTTCTTCCTTTCCAGTCTCCACACTCATCTCTTCGAGTCTTCTACACTCCTTCCTTAATCCTTCTACTTCTTCTTCTAGCTGATTCACTTCTTCCTCGCTTGGGCTTTCTTTTTGTTCTGTTCTATATAAAGATTATGAAATGAAACTTAACAAATTCAAGTTTAGCCAAATAAGTAGGTCTCTCAGTTGGTTTATTTGGGCGTGAAAATGTTGTAGTAGAAGGAGTTATTAATATGAGTTGTTTTATGTCAAAATATAAGGAGATCATATGTGATGTTGGCAATGGAATGGAGAAGGAAATTTGTGAAAATAGTAAAGAAGTAAAATTTTTAGGGATCTTAAAGAGGATTTGACATCTTTCTAATTTATAACTATGAGAATTGAACTTTCAAGAGAGATTATGTCATACCTTTCATTACTCCTTAAGCTAGCTTGGTTAGATTTTTCTTCATACTCTTTAATCAAGAAGTCATAATATTCTTGTCTGTTCTTTCTGACTTCTTCTTTAAGTTGATCTAACATCTCTACCTCATTTAGAGGATCAGATAACTTCTTAGAGTCTTCCAAGAAGATTTCTTTCGCTTTCTGCATATCCTGTTTGACTGTGTGCATAAGAGAGGTTTGGACAAACATCTTTTCTTCATTCTCATTTTGAACCTCTTGTTCTATTCTTAACAGCTTGTTGGCATCAAGAAGTTTCTTGAAGACGGAGTTCGAATTGTTTGCATGTGGGACGTTTATCTTAGATTGAAGCTCTTCTTTTCTTAACTCAAGCTGGGTGATTTCTTCCTGAAGGGTATCTATTGGAGTATCCTTTGATTTTAAGATACCCAAATTTCCATTTATGATATTCCACTCTTCTTGTATATCTTTGTAAATATTTATTTCTTTTCTAATATCTTCGTCTATGAGTAGCTCCTCAGGTATTGCCCAAGAGGAGAGAAAGGTAGAACTCCTTCATAATTCTTTGGAATCTTCAACTGTTTGCAAAACAAATTCCAAGGATTTGAGGATAGTTTCCCTGTTGTTACAATAAAGGCCTAATTTCAAAGACGAATCTGACTCTCAAGAGAGCCCTAATTTTGTAAAAAATTGACAAATTCTATTTGTAGTCTCTTCTTGGGTCTCAGTTCTGAAATTGGTATCTTTCTGACTACTATCTAGCTTCACAATCACCTGATTTAGTAATTTTAGTAATTCAAGTCTATAGCAACAGTCAGAACTTAAAGACACTTACGGTTGCATGCTGTCTAACTCAACAAGGGACATATTGCATTCATAGGGCTTCATTTTTAGCAATTTCGCTATTTGTCTAATCGTCTCTGCGCCTCTGGGTTCATCTAAACTCTTTGTACTAGTCTTTTGAGTTTCAGGTGTCTCGCTCGAAGCAGTATTTATTCTGTCTTGTTTCTCTTCTTCATGACCTAAACTTTATAAGAGGTTCATTGACAAAGTGTCCATACTTGTACTAGCCTCCATTTGATAAATAATTTTTTATTTTCCATTTCTCTAAAATAACATGGGGTTTTGGGGTTTTGGGGTTTTGGGGTTTTGGGG